TCAATACGAAACTAACGATTTTAAATTGGCTCACTACTTGACTAGCCTATTGGTCCCAAGCAAACGATTAACGTACTACCCCATTCTAGTCGAAATTCTAGTACTACGCAATGTCTGTTTTGATTCGCTATGAAAATTTGATAGATAAAATGAGGGGTTAGTGGACTTTCCTATGTTTCGAGGGGTGAATCGATCAGCTTGGTACCGAAGAGAGTACCATAGCTGAGTAAAAAAGTTGAGCACGTTTTTTCGGGACCTTCTATTCTTAGAGTTACCTCTATGATTCCACTTTGTTTGAGGTGAAACGACAATGTAAATCAAATGAAATTCATATCTACCAAAGTAAGATCGGCTTATGTCATGACGCTCCACTTATGGAATTCAAAAAAAATCATCTTCACTTACTGCTAACTACCTTTTGAGTCATCTCCATCTTCCAAAGCGCTAATAAGTTGACGAGAGTAATCGTCTTTGACATCAGCTGACAAAAGGTATTCAAGAAAGTGTGTACAGAACCATTCCCATTTCTCGAACAGTTTGCCTTGCTCACTCGTATGCTCATTTGACCTTTGGAAAAGGTGTTCAAAGTCCACATCAACCTAAAAATAAGTTGACCGTTTAGAACCATGTAATAAAGCAAACATTTAATAATATATTTACCAACAAGTATCCGTCTTCATCGATGTATCGGGGCCACTCAGATAGAACCGTAGATTTGTTTATGTCCTTATCATGTTGAATTCTCCTCAGCCGCAGCAGAATTGAATGTTTCCAGTGGGATAAAACTTGATCACCTGGTGCACAATTATTCCGCAACCAAACCTTGCTAGAGTCCAATCGACGAATTTCTGTAACAACATAAATACAACAACGCAAGTTTGTAATGCACAATCTATAGAAAATATAATGTCGTTTACGTTTTAGCGGTACATAAAAAGAGTAGCTGCACCAACAAGCGCCGAGTGATTGACGTGACAGTTCATAATAAATAATTCTTGATTGATTTTAGAATAGGTTCTATGTCCATTTGTCGATCAAAGAATCGATTAACTTTATTCGCTTTCTTCCGCATCCTGAGCTGTGTATGTGCAATATTGATGCATGAAGTTAAAAGTGTAAACTTCTGATTGCATGTGTCAATATTGCAAATTCACCGTTTAAGTCGCGGTAGAAAGCGAATTTAGTTAATTGATTCTTTGATCAACAAACTGACATAGGACCTATTCTAAAATCAATCGAGAATTATTGTTTGTAACCTCGTTTGTGACGCATAGTAGTTCACTCGGGAGCTGGAAAAAGGGCCTATATTATTTTATCGATTATCTTCATCGACTTTTTATTTCTTTAATAACTCAAGCTGAACATTGCATAAGGTCCTAAATAACATTGACAGATTCTCTTCGTCGACTTTATCTTTGTCTACCCATGGCCATTTAAAGACAAATCCCAGGTATTTTCAGCACACAGGTCGACAAAAGAAGCTTTTATCTACCATTTAATACGACAAACGCTTTTTATGTAGATGAACCAGCCTAGAGGCTAAAAATCTTCCTAATATAGCTTCATAAAAACACGACAACACAATAAGAAACGATCACGTGCTCAAGTTATTAACGAAAGAGAAAGTCGACGATGAGAGTCGATCAGGACCTTATGCACTTAGGACCTAATGCAAAGTTCAGCTTGAACTTAGGTGTAGAAACGTTCACTGTTTTTGACGATTTGGATGATAGATAAAAATCTCCTTTATCATTTATGTGGCAAAAATGGTACGAAAATTGTTTGCCCTTTTCTCTGCGCATCATTCAATTGTTGTGTACGGTGGTGCAATAAAGTTATGTCTACACCGCGAAAACAAAAACGGTATAAACCTGAGCATAAACTAAATCAACTTTAATAAACAAGGACCTGTCGGCTTGCAGTTGAGAAAGCTTTTGGGCAAACTGACACAGTGACACAACTCAAACTGAACATTGCATTAGGTTCTAAGTAACATTGACAGATTCTCTTTGTATCCCCACGGCCATGTAAAGACATTCACAGGTATTTTCAGCACACAGATCGATAAAAGAATTATCTAGCATCTAATACGACAAACACAACAAGATACGGTTATGTCTAGATAGAGCTGGAATTAGGGCCTAACAATTTTTTTTTAACAATGACTTCTCTTGATGATTAATAGATATTTAAGGCTCGCCCACGCAAACCAACATCCTCATCGGGTAGGTAAAGACTTCCCCTATCCGATGGTTAGGTTGGTCTGCGTGGACGTGCCTTGAAATCCTAGAAATCATCGATAGAAGTCACTGTTTACAAAAGCTGTTACGCCCTCATTCCTGCTCTATCTAGAATGTGCTCAATTCGACAGTGAGGATGCATAAGGGCGTAAACGCGATGATCGATTCTCTTCGTCGATTTTCTCTTTTTTTAATAACTTGCTAGATTTAACGTTTCTCGGTGCATTTGCTGTTGCTTTCGATAGCCAATAGAACCTGTTACAACTCTGCATTGAACACATTCTAGAAAATTGTTTCGCTTAGCTGTAGCAATGCAAAGAGAAAATCGATCATCGCGCATACGCCCTTATACATGCTCACTGTCGAATTTATTAACGCAAGAGAAAATCGACAAAGAGAATCGATCAATGTTTCTTAGAACCTAATGCAATGTTCAGCTTGAACTATCAACGCAAAAAAAATGCAGATTGACTGACCCATCATTTTTCTGAATGAGAACAAAGGAACTACAATTTTTACCTGTTTCAGATAACTGTAATGCAGCTAGTTTTTGCCTCGAATGAAAAGTCGTTTTTGTCACTGGAGTGTGAGAAATCGGTGTCGCAGACGTTTTCTTCCTGTTGTGAAAACGATCATACAACATACCAGATGGGTGCTTCTTGTTTACAGAGCTATTACGGGGATTGTAATACGTCTCCTAAAACGATATTATAGACATATGTTAGTAGACAGTATTCATAGGATAAACCATTGTATTTCTTACGGCTATTTCTGGAGGAAATCGGTCGGCAATGAGTTCCGCAAATCGGGCCATATATTGTCCGAGTAAAGCCCTCGTGACACCTGTTGGAATAAGTTTTCGATGTGGAGAGATGGTTGCTGTGCTCTGGTCGAAAACTGTGTTGATTGTTCTAGCAGCTGCTTCTGTTTCGTGGTATAGCACACTTTCTTCCCACACCATTAGTTTTTGGCGCAGTACATGTTTGTAGGCAGTCCATTTCGTTAACGTAAATACGTCGTTTAGTGCCTTTTCGTCCAGCGTCTTGGCATACTCCACAGTATATCCATGAGCTAAAATTATGACTTTCAGAAATAGTCACTAAGAAAATTTTTCCATTCAACTTACCGATCAACATGTCATAAATCACTTGATCCAGACCCCATATTTCAGTGATCAAGTTGAGCAGCTCCGGATTACCGTCATGATCTAAATCAGCATCTGAACAAAAGAAAAATTACAGCGCCAAATAAATTACCGAGAAAAGATAATTTCTACAATTTATTAACTTACCGTCGGAGACCTTTGAATCCAGTGGGTCTGCAAAAATCATTTCTACATATTCACACGATTCTTCGTTTAATTGCATTATTAAGCATTCGATTTAATTAACTATTTATAAATAAAAACCTCTTGTTCACGCGCTCGCCATTAAATCGATGATAAAATGGCGTCTTGTGCCTAAACAAACACTAGCAAAAAATAACACCCTTGTTATAGTTGAATTGACTACAAAACCTTGTCGGTTGAATTTTGTATGTAATGTGCACTTGATAATACTAGAAACATGGTATAAATGAGAGTGTAATACATTCAAACGATGATGTGTGCTTATATTGACAACAGATATTGTTGTTTATAGTAGAAATATAACGTGTAGTTAATTTTAACACATATAAATAAACATGAATAGTTTTAAATTAACAAGCTATCAGTAAATTTAACCGATTTAATAGTACGGTTAACAACTTTTGTTAACTGTAAATTTAACAACCTTATTGTTGTTCACCATACGATGTAATTCATTTCAGTGTAGGGCAGAATTGGTAAATATAGCAATGGGCGATCTTGGATCGAAACACAGAAGATCGTTTCTTTTGGTTCGATTAATCGATTTTTGAATCGATCTCAAACACGTCAAAAATCGACTGGATCGATCCTTTTCATTCGATTTTTGTTTCGATAAAAAAAAAAATTCAGTGCATTTGCAATTTAATATTTTTGCACATCACTTGCCTTGAACATGGATTCTGCAAACAACAAGAGTGGCAGTTCAGTAGAAAAAATCACTTCTTATGTCATATATCAAGTTCATCAGTCCTCTGCTATGTCAAAACTGAATCGCCATGGGGGCATATTGGCAGAATTGCAAAACTTCTTGCATAAGCCTATTTTCTCACGTTCTGTCGATCCATTTCAAGCATGGGAGAAAATCTGTAGTGAATATCCCCATGTATACCCCATTGCTCGAGACTATTTATCAAGAATGGTAACAAGTGTTCCGTCAGAGAGGCTATTCTCTAAAACTGGTGAAACCACACAAATCGGCTCAATGCAAAACGCATGGTTCAATTAGCTTTCTTGGGATCCCTCTCGGATGAGTTTTAGGATATCTAAATTATTTACTTTCCGTACTTACCTGCTTTTACACTCCGACCATCTAATCGTTTTGATTCATATGTTAAGCTTAACGGCAATGGTAGGTTGCTCAGGGAACCTTACGCGGACAGTTCGGATTAATAAAGTAATAAATAAACACACGCGAACACTTTACTTTTACTTGTATTTCTGAACGGTAAAATAATTAACGCATACAACACGTTTCAATCTCGAATGGATAATAATGATCCTATCTTGACAGCTTGGTCATAGTGATAGTGCACACAGAAGGTGAGCACTCAAATCAAGGTTTCTACACTATGCTTAATAGGTGAGAATAGTGAGAATTGTCGATTTTCACACTTCCCCTCAATGCGAAGCAGCTACTCCTTCAATCCGAGCATTTCTCGGAACATGTCGTGCTTCTGCGGCCCGAGGGGCTTCGTGAATATGTCTGCTAACATCTGATCCGTCGAACAGTACTCCAACACAATCTCCTTCTTTGCACACAACTCATGCACAATTCGCTCTCTCGTGTTAGTGTGCTTCGAACGTCTGCTGGTCCTCTCCTTCTGAAAGAACGCCAAGCAGCCCTGATTATCCTCGCGCAGAACTGTGGGTTGTTTTTGCGTTTCTCCGAAGTCACTAAGCAACTGACGAAGCCATAATGTCTCCTGTGAGGCCTCACTCAGAGCGACGTACTCGGCTTCCATCGATGACAGCTTTACGCTTGACTGACGGCGGCTTGCCCAAGATAATATGCCACCTCCAAACGAGAAAACAAATCCTGTTGTTGAACGCCGACTATCGGGATCACCGGCCCAATCCGCATCCGAATGACCAAGTAATGCTTCCTCAGGGGTTCCACCCAACTGCAGATAGTAGTCCTTGGTCCCGCTCAGAAACCGTAACACAAGCTTTGCAGCGGTCCAATCTGCCTCACGTGCTTCGCTGAACTTTCGCCCGAGTATTGCGGTACAAGCGGCGATATCAGGTCGGGTCATCACAGCAAGATACAAAAGTCCACCAACCAAGCTGCGATACTTGATTGGATCTTCCAGCACTTCACTGCGATTTCTCAATTTTTGCTTCAGCCATTCCATTCTTCTCCAACAGTTTGTCGATATAATTCCGAAGTCGTATCTTGTATACTCCGTCCTCTAAGGCAACCTCCATGCCTTAGAAGTGACGTGGCTGACCCAGACAGGTTAGTTCAAACTCCTTGTTCAGGTTAGCACAACACTGATCGATCTGGGCTTTGCTCTTGGACGCCAACAACGAATCATCGACATACACCAACATGAACACTTTTGTCTGGTCAGTAATCTTCACATATAGACACGGGTCTGCTGCTGATGCCTTGAATCCGCAACTTTGCAATACACTGTCCAATCGCTTATTCCAGCATCGTGCTGACTGCCGGAGCCCGTAAATACTTCGTATGAGACGGTAGACCATGGGTCCCTGCTTCGCATATCCTGGTGGCATCCGCATAAAAATTTCTTCGTCCAAGCTTCCGTAGAGGTACGCTGTTTTCACGTCCAGGTGGCGTACAATCAGATTCTGCTTGCCAACCACCGTGAGAAACGTACGTAGTGTGGCCTGCTTAGCAACGGGCGCAAAAACTTCTCACAACTTCCCACGTTCCGTTACGGTGGTGAGCTTTGAGTTCATCCTCCATCGCTTCCCGCCACTCTTGCTTCTTGACTGCTTCCTTGAAGTCGATCGGCTCCTCCAGCGCACACGCGGCGATGCCCGCAGAGTAGAGCTCGTAATCCCCATGGTATTTCGGCTTTGCACCTGCTCGTTCTGCTGTTCTTCGGTATCTGCATCTTCGTATAACTCCTCGTTGCTCGAACTTTGGCCACATTCTACTCCAGTCTGATCCCGTTCTTCTTTCGGCGACTTGGGTTCTTCCTTTCCACGTTGCTGCGTCGAACTTGTCCCTGGTTTCGAAACTAAAATCTCGACTGCACTGGTTCCGTTTCCGAGTTCTACGAAACGTGCTTCACGACTCACGATAACGGCATCGGTCTCAGGGTCCAAGAAACGGTAGCCTTTTTGGTTCATGCTGTATCCCACCATGTTCAGTTTTCGTGTCTTGCTTTCTAACTTGCTGCGCTTGACCTCTGGAATATGTACGAATTCCTCGCTGCCAAATACTCGGATATGTCCAAGCTTAGGTTTCCGATCCCACCACAGCTCATACGGTGTCTTCTGGATTGACCGAGACCGTAACCGATTCTGGAGATAGGTGGCAGTTAGCATTACCTGTCCCCAATAGCGCATCGGCAATCCCGCATCGATCAATATGCATGTCGCCATCTCAGTGAGGGACCGATTCTTACGCTCTGCTATGCCGTTCTGTTGGCGGGAATAGGGTGTGGTAAATTGTGGCGTTATTCCCTCGGCTTTGTAGAATCGACACATCTCTCTATTGTCGAATTCTTCCCCTCCATCAGAACGGATCACGCGTGGTTTGCTGTTGAAATGATTTTGGGTCCACCTCACGTAATCCTTGATGTTATCGGCAGCCTATGATATATGCCTGAGCAGATATGTAACTGTGAAACGACTAAAATCATCGATTATTGTCATTACATACCTGTTGCCGCTGGGAGTTAAGTTTTTCAGCGGTCCACAGAGGTCAGTGTGGACGATATCCAGAATTTTAGTCGACTTTCTTTCCACCACTGGAGGGAAGGACAATCGAGCGGACTTCCCCTCTAGGCAACACTCGCACACCAGCTTCAAGCCACAGTCAGCGACTTTCATCCCTGTCGTCAATCATCAATCCTTCTTTGTTGATCCGCTCCACCGCAGCCCAATCGCGATGGCCAAAACGCCTATGCCACTGGTGCTGGCAGTTTTCCAGATGCTGACCTGCAGATGCTTGCATCGACGACTCCGCTATCTTCAGATGGTACATGCCACCGTAGTGGCATCCCGTCGCAACAACGACTCCGTTCGGATCCGTAATCCGGCAACCTTCTTCGTCAAAAGACGCACTGAGGTTCTTCTGTACCAAACTTGTCACTGAAATCAGGTTTGTCGAAAGTCCTGGCACGTATTTTACGTCATTCATATCAATTTTGATCACTTCTTCTTCACCGTTAATTCCGTAAATCACTCCACTACCTTGACCCAACATTTGCGTCTTCTTTCCGTCCGTCAGCGTTATACAACCACCGGCAAATTCCTCGAGCGACGTGAAAAACGAGCAGTCGTTGGTCATATGTGCACAATAGGGTGCTTCATTCTGAAAAAAGTGATGAATTTCTGATGGGCCACCCTCCAGTTCGATTCATAGCCCCAAAATATGAACCTGTGCAAAAATTGGTAAAGATTGATGAAGGTTTAGAGGTCGCGCCAATGATTTGAAATTTGTATGGGAATTACTATGGAAGAATTTAAAAAATCGCTTATATCGCTATAACTTTGCTTCTACTTGTCCAAATGTCGAAAAAATTTAGTATGTTATTGCTATGGCAATAAACAAAAAGCCTACAGTTGCTACGCTCAGTTTTGCAGCGTATCAAGAATTATAAAAATGTGAAAAAATGGCAAAATAGGGTAAATTGACAGATGAATATGTACAAGGCAACAACGCCAATTTCATCGCAACAACAACAGGCTTGTTGATCATTGTCATGAAAACCACATATTTTTTTTTCAACGTTTGGACAACTACAACCAAAGTTAGAGCAATGTAAACGAAACTCAATAATTTCCCATACTAATTCACCAAAATCTCCATACAAAATCCAAATCATTGGCGCGACCTCTAAACCTTCATCAATCTTTACCATTTTTTGCACAGGTTCATATTTTGGGGCTATGAATCGAACTGGAGGGTGGCCTATCAAAAATTCATCACTTTTTTCAAAATGAAACACCCTAGTGCACAACTCCGCTATCGATAAGCACCATGTCACAGCCTGAACACCACCAGTGACGAAAGCGACTGCTGTACCATCCGTGTTCGCAGTTTTCGCTTTAGCGGTGCCACTTGGCTTTGGTGATTTTTGCCGTTTGTCCCGCTTCTTCATCCGGCAATCACGCTGCAAGTGTCCGGGTTTTCTGCAGTAGTAGCAAGTTCTGGTTTCCTTACCACGTTTCATCTCACTAGATCGCATCGCTCTCTCCCTCTTTCCGGTAGCACCGTCCCGCTCCAGTCGTCGATTATACTCGTCCGCTATCTTCGGCTTAACAGCATCAAGCGAAAGGTCATCGTCGGACCGACTGTCGAGAGCCAAAACTAAACTGTCAAATGACGGAGAAAGGCTCCGGAGCAGCATGCAAATCTTGACGTCCTTATCCAACTTCGTATCCACTGCGTCCAAACGATCAAACAGCTGATCCATATCGAAAAGGTGTTTCTCTATGTCACCGCATTCCCGAAGGTTCACAGAACAGAGCTTTTTTAACAACGATACACGAACAGACCGCGTCGATTTAGCATGATACGCTTTGAAAGAATTGAATACATCGCACGCGTGAACACAATTCTACACTAGAGACAGTTGATTCATAGAGGTAACTCTAAGACCAGAAGGTCCCGAAGAAACGTGCTAAACTTTTTGTCTCAGCTCTGGTGCTCTCTTTGGTCCCAAACTAATCGATGCACCCCTCGAAACATAGGAAAATCCACGAACCTCTTATTTTATCTGCACGGCGCATGAGAACGACCCAAATTTTAGTTTAGTTCACTCATAATTGCCAAAAGTGCAGGAACTCAGCGATGAGTAAAATTTGTTTCATGGTTTCCTGTGGAAAACCTAAAAAATCTGCCGGAAAATTAGGAAATTGATGAAAATTTTATTTATTATTATATTATTATTTTATATTTATTATTAAATATTTTAGTACCAATAGACTGAGTGAATCTAATCTTTACTTTTCTCAAATTCGGGAATTTTTCCCTAGAAAATCCTGTAAAAACCTGGGAAAACATGAAGCAAATTTACTCATCGCTGAGTTCCTGCACTTTTGGCGATTATGAGTGAACTAAACTCAAATTTGGGTCGTTCTCATTCGCCGTGTGTCAAAATTTCATAGCGAATCAAAACAAACATAGTGTAGTGTGGTAGTGGAGAGTGGAATAAGAAATAATAATCTATTTTCTTAAATTGTAGTTTCAAAATTTAAATAAACATTTATATTTTGATCGAAAACAAAAATGAAATCGCTCATTGCTATGTTCGATCGCCCATTGCTCCGTAATCCGAACAGCTGCCGAACGCCTGCTGTTACGAAAGAAAAAAAGAAAATAAGAAGAAGCATATGTGCCTATATAAGCTCATGCAAAACAGAGAAACGAGGAGATTCATTCTGCATCATACCGTTGTGCAGTACAGTCGGTTGTTTGAATCGCTCGCTCAGTGCCAGTAATATTAATAGTGCTACGCGTTTGTTCACGTGTTCGGTCGTTTCGGTGCATCACGTGTGATGTCGAAGCGGAAGAAGAAGACAGGCTCGAACCAGGGTTTGAACCCTGCAACCCAGTCTAAAGCTGCCCAAGGCGGCAAAAAGACGAAGAGAGACGCATCCGACCGTGGAAGTGTCCATACCCCAATGAATAGTGGTCTCCAGGATAACGCCACAGCAATCAACGGTAGTGACGTCGGTGATTTCGGCGGGTCCGTTGAAAACTTGGCCACGGGCGGCCAGAACGGTCCGAAAGTGAAACTCCCACCTCTGGTGGTGAAGTCAGTACCACTCGACAAGCTGGCTCAAGAGATGGCATCCCTTGGCGTCGCTGCCGAGTACATTTTTTTTTTTTTTTTTTTTTTTTCCTTTATAGAGATTTTTAGCCATCTCTTACTGCCGAGTACAAACTGTGCGGGATTGGCACGAAAATCATCCTCCACACTAAAGGGGACTATAACAAAGCTTTGGCTTCGCTGAAGAATTCCAAAGTGGAATTTTTCACACACGACATTCCGGGCGACAAGCCATTTAAGGTAGTCATCCGAGGCCTTCCGAAGGTGATCGAAGCTGAAATTAAAGACCGGTACAAGCTGGCCCCCATCGCCGTCGCTGACGCTTAATGCGTTGCAAGCAATCCGCTCGCTCTTCAACGTCATCATCCGTTGGGAGTCCT